CAGTCCGGTGTTTGACACCAAACACAGATTAGCAGTGTTCGATGTCTGTTCCCGCCCAGAGCTTTGGGGTATAAAACACTCTTCTCTGCCTCTGAAGTCTTTCCTTCCTATATCCCACTCGACAGAGTCGATTTCCGAAATTCAGTTCCAGTCATGCCATGTCCGACTCTTCGGAGTGACCAAATTCAACTCGACACCCTCTATGGCGGTCGCGACGCTCCAAAATTCAAAGATATTCCGTGATATGAGATCCGGGCTGGCAGCTGGAAACCACGAGTGCTCAGAGACATGTCTGGTGGCTCGCTTTCGCTGTTGAGCTATACAACCTCATCTTTATGTTGATTCTTTGTACTTCAAATCTGGAGATTAGCACCGTATGTTCAGAATCATCCGTCCAACAGCTCATGCTGTTTCCTGGGGTTCATCGAAAAGGAAAATCGGCATTCTGCATGACTCCTCCGCCTGGGGTTCGCCAAAATACACTATGGAAGCAGGGATGAGATGAAAAGGATTTGCCTCTCAAACATGCATTGAGAGAATTGAGATTGTTGACCCTGAAAGCCTGGATGCTACTGCGTTCATCAATACCCTGACGATGATCAGCATCATCGCGATGCCGTTCATGCCCACATGTTCCCATTGTCCAGACAGGGTTTGTCTCATATCCATTGAATTGAACCGATCGTAATCGTAATCTACACAAAATGTACAACATCTCCCCAACCCACACCACTACGCATGCGCCGCCACACCCCCCATAGGCCTCATCCCCTGCGGATTATTCGGCGCAGACGGCTGAATCTCCTGCACCGCCTCATCATACTCCGCCGTACTCATCTCCGCGGCATCCCCCAACCCCTCATCCTGCTGCCCACTAAACATCTGCGCGCGCATACTCTGCTCGTCCTCAATCTGCTGGGCAGCCCACGCCTTCCAGTTCTCCCACGTGCGGTCTTCCAGCTCCATTCCGATTTCAAGCGGCCCTTTGCCGAAGTAAGCGCCGACGTGCAGGGCTTCTTCTTTGGCGATGCGGGACCGGATTTCGGAGAGGTGGCGGTGTTGGTAGAATTCGCGGCGGGCGAGGTCGTAGGCGGTGGCTTTGGAGAGGGAGGCGTGCTTCATTAGCCACATTTGGCGTTGGACGACGCTGGGGGGGTGTTAGTATGGGGGTGGTGTGGTGTGGTGGATGTGGGTTTGGGTACCTTTCACCGTCTAATTGCTTCCCTGGCTGGACAATCTTGCTCCAGTCGTATCTCTTGGAGTCGTTCCCGCTGTCTTCTACGACTAGCCTCGGCCGTGCCAGTTCCCACGGGTGGTCGCCGAAGAATTCCGAACGCAGCTTGTCTTCTGGGTATGCGATGGGGAGGGGTTGGAATAGTTTGCTGGCTTTCCGCGCCTTTCGCATCTTGGGTATGCGCAGGACGGGGCGGGCGAGCGTCTCGCCGGGCGGTATGTTTCCGACGACGTCGTACCATTGCGGGAGGTTGGGTTCTCGTTTCGAGTCGAAGAGGGCTTTCGCGGTCTGGCGCACCCGCATCGGGCGGAAGTCGTAGCGGCCCATGGCGGGCGGTGTGTTGTTTTATATAATCAGATATGTTATCGCATCGGCGGGGGTTCTGGGGGGAGACGGAGGGTGTAGCAGCAGGTCGGGCGGCGCAATTGGTCGTGTCGTGGATATTGGGGTTCTTGCCCGCAAAGTCCGCAACTCCGCCAAGACTTCGCGACGCCGAAATCTTTGGAGAGTATGACCGCGACACTCGGCACCCGCCACAATATCCTCCCACCCAGGCAGCTCTTCGCTGAACTCCCCGTAACCAATTGCACCCGACATCCCCCAAATGGACCCCGTCTGAACTGGCTCCCTCTGACACAATGCTCGACCTCTCATGTCCCTCTTCCGCACCCTCGACCGGACCTCTGCAGTCTCCAATACCGCCCATACTCGCCCCGTCCTCACCTTCCTGTACCCGAGTTCCGAGAAGAATACATCAAAGAGGAGGTTCAGCAAGAAGGCGGTAGACAATGCTCCGTTACCCGATAGGCCGTCTGCTCGCATGGACACTTTCTTCATCCAGGCATTGGTGCGGGCCGGGTCGTGCCCAAAGCATGCGAAACATATACATACCCCGCGCGAGGTAGCATCGCCGACACCGAAACACCAAACATCACGGAGGAAGAGCACGTGGTCAAAGTCGGAGAAGAAGTTGGATATTTTCCCCGAGCGCAAAGGGCCGCTCAAGAAAGTCAAAAACTTCGCCGAGAAGGAGCTGCAAGCCTTGGTGGATTACTATGGCATGGAGATTGATACCCGGCCTGAGGCAGACGTTCCTGACGAGGGAAAGCTGGTGTGGAATGTTGGTGACGACCATGAGCCCTGGCCTCTACGCGAGCCAGCAGATGCGTTGCATATCAAGAAGTTAGAGGATCTGCTGAAGGACGATGAGTCGCCACACGATGAGGTGTTTGATACTTATAAGAAGCTTCAGTCGCCAGGAGTCGTGTACCTTACTACCATGACTATTCGAGCGCTACTGCACCATCTCGCCATCGTCGAACGCCCCACACCCATCGCAGCGCAACGGTTCCTCTCGATCCTAGACGATATGAAGACGGCGCATATACACATAGTACGTTCAGAGTGGACATCCGCCATACATCTCACTGGACGCGCCATGGGAACTGTGTCCGATGATGACCTACAAAACACCCTTCGCATCTGGCAAGACATGGAGCATCGGGCTGGTCTGAAAGGTGGATATGTCACGTTCAACGTGCTCTTCAACATTGCTGTCAAAGCGGGCAAATACACACTCGCCGAGACCTTCATGAAAGAGATGCAAGCCCGAAAGCTGCCCATGCACCGACACTACCGTGTAGCACTCCTCTACTACTACGGCGTACTACAAAACGGAGATGCCGTCCGCAAAGCATATCTCGACCTCGTCTCCGCCGGCGACATCGTTGACACCGTCGTCATGAACGCCGTCATAGCCTCCCTAGTGCGCGCCGGCGAGCCCTCAGCCGCCGAACACGTCTTCGAGCGGATGAAGCGCCTGCACGCGCAACGCAGCGCCACAGCCCGCGGCCACGTCTTCTTCAACCGCACCTGGCGCGACCGCCGCGTGCTAGGCATGAAATTCCGCGACGAAGCTCGGCGCCTAAAGAAAGAAGGCGGAGACGAAGAGCTAAAACAACTCCAAGACCTTGCGCCCATCGGCCCCGATTCACGTACTTATGGGATATTGATACGGCATCATGCAGCTGTAGCCGGCAACATCGACCGCGTCAACGAGCTTTTGCAGGAAATGAAATATAATTCTGTTTCCCTCGACGGCACTATCTTCATCGTTATATTCCACGGCTTCAACTCCTTCGGCGGCGTCAGATACTCCTCCTGGACACTCTCCCGCCTCGAGAAAATCTGGACCCAGTATCTCAAAGCGCTGAACAGCGATAATATGGAGCGTACATGGCTGTCTAGTCTCGCTGTTATTGCGGCGCTCCGTGCGTTTGGGAGATGCGCTCCCCCTGAGCGTATACTCAAGGCGTGGGAAGAGATTCGCGACTTGTGGCATCCGGATGAGAGGGAGTTGGAGGCTGCGTTGGCGGTGCTGAGGAGGCTTGTGCCGAGGAGATTGGAGGGGGGGTTGGATGAGGGGGGGAGGATGGGGTTTTTTGATGGGAGGAGGTTGGGTTGAGGGGGGGTTGTTTGTAGGAATAGGTGTGTTGGTGATGGAAGACGCGTTCTGTATCATCATCTCTTCTGTAAATTCAGCGGTTCACATAATGTGTACAGCACGTGTAAGAGTATTTGGAATCCGTCTCCGTATACACCGCTGGAGTTGCGGCAGGATAGACGGGGATGGGTGGCTAGTGTATCATCAATCATTATCATACTCCACTGTCCCGTACCTTATCTCCTACCCCAGCATCATCCCTCTCTCTCTCTCTCTCTTTCTCAAGATACCCAAACCCAAAGTACCCAGGATCACCTTGCTTACCCTACTGCCACCACGATCCACTAATTTCCGGAACCACAAATCTACAAATCTGTCATCTACAAGGATCTTCCTGTTCCGTCAGGCCCGTCATCTCCGGTTCTTTGGGGCGTATATCGGGTTACCTACTTCAGGCTATTTAGACCTACTTCGGTGGACTTGGGTCTTGGCACGGGTAGATTGGTTAATTTGAGTGCACTGCCTGGGATGATTTGGGAGGGGTTGGGGGTAATCTCGGGGGAAGGGATCGGTGGGTATGGGAAGGGGATGGGGATATGGGAATGCGATTTTGGGTGGCATGGGAGATTGGGGATTGGGGATGGAGGATAGGGGATAGAGGATAGGGGATAGAGGATAGGGGATAGAGGATAGGGGATAGAGGATAGAGGATGGGGGATAGAGGATAGGGGATGGGGGGTTTTGGTGTTGGTTGGCGTTCGTGATAGTGTTGGTGTTGCTGGTGGGTTTGCGATTGCTGCTGTTTGGAGTGGTCGTACTGCTAGCGTCGGTGTTGGGTAGTGCTTGGTGGTTGATTTGAGGCTGTTCAAGTAGTTGTGTTGCTTCGTCTTGGGGGCGTAGAAAAGAGTTGGGGTTTGTGAAGTTGCGCTCCAATTGGTGTTGGTGGTTGGGTTGTGAGCCCACATCGGTCGTCACGTTGCTTCGTCTCGAAGGCGTAGACAAGATTGCACGATAGAGGGAATGCGGCTTTGACTCAGACTAGGGTCTGGCTGTGCTTTGGCTTGGTTGTTGAACTTGTCTTTTAATCTACCGGGTGAAGAAGTGAGGGCTGGCATGTTTTGTTAGCTTATATGTTTGTCGCTGTAGCAGAAAGTAGAAACAGAAAAAAGTAGAAAGCAAAACTTCATTGTACTTATAGCAAGAGCTGATTAAAGTAGAGAAGATCTAGTAGTACGCTTGATGATATCGAAAAGACTCTATGAAATAGACAAGATTGTAGAGCTAATCTAATACAACTCGAACTCGATTGAAATGCTCTCTCCATCAAAGGTCTTCCATGTAGAGCAGCATGTTCGGTGCCGGCTTGGTCGGAGATCGCCAAATTTTGATCCTGTTAATTCTTTTCTTGCCAAAGATGGCCCGGTAGTAAACGCCCAAGAACGCAGGACCAGCGGCATGGGAGCTTCCAAGCAAGCCGAAAAAGGCCTCCGCTTGAGGCGTCAATGGCTCATTCAAGGGGTCGTCTCCCGGCACGAAATCAACGCCAGGCCACTGTGCCAAGTCATCCAAGTCACCGCTCGGCAGCCTGTTGACCTTCAACATGGCCGATGCCATGAGGTCTTTCGTTTGAGATGTGGCGATCCCGGATCGGTATACGCGCTTGAGGTCTTTTCCGGCCGCGTGCTGGTCCCACATCACTGCCATGATGTCGGTCCATTTCGTAGTGGGCCACATCCATTCCGGCACTTCAGGTTTCATGCCTTTCGTAGTTGCCGCGGGCCCATAATTGTCACCGGCGATTATGTAACCATCATCTCCGTTAACCATGTTGCCCATCATGGCCAAGGTGGGCTATAAAGCCAAGACATGTATGTTAGTAAAGTCAATGATTGCTCTAGCACGACTGTGACCACGTACCGATCTGGCCCTACCATCATCGCCCGTCCAGTGCTCCTCATGATACCACACCCGAGGGACCTCATTAGCAGTATTCAACAGACCATCGGCCCTCGCTAATGGCACGCGCCACTTTTTCGCTAGGACTTCGTCCTCTTCATCGTCCCATCCAATCGACACGAGTTTCTCCCGCGTCACGGTCCCGGGTTCCACGTCATCACGGTTCATCTTGCACCAGATACCTGTTCTCGTCATCAGCAGATGGGATGGAGAAAGCTCTCGTTTCAAACCGCTTACTACATGGATGTTAGCAAAGAAACTAAGTACAATGCATGCCTTTGGTTCTAGCAAATAGCTGCATGGCTTAGACTAGCCTGTACAGACCCAAAGCAAGTTGAATCAACAGCTCGTTTTCGCTCGTACAGGACAATGAGAAGTACTTTGACTCACCCCCTTCCACTCAAAACCTTCCCGTCCCATAGGGCTGCGTCGGCTGCACGAGAAACAAGCTCGTGTGGCAGTGAAACAAGCGAGTCGTTAATTCCACGTGGGACGTCGAAAAAGCCTCGTTTTTGCACGTCGGTCGGCTGTTGATCATGCGAGCCATGGGAGAAGTGGGAGCCAGTGATTACAGCAAGGCAGATACCCACAACAAGAGCGAAGAGACGGTATCGAGGAAGACGTCTTCTAGCCCCGGTTGGCCTGGCGCCATTGAAAATGCCAACATAAATCATGGCGAACAGCTGAAGAAACGAATTGAACAGCGAGTGAAGAGAAACGCAGGCATGGGCAGAAGCCTCGTTCTAGGAATATATACCACCTAGACATACGCGGTTGTCGAGGCCAGCATATGAGCTACTTGGCCCGGTAGAACATGATCCATCTTCCCAAAAGCGTATGCGTCAAGCGTTTACATGGGTACAGAACGCTTTCTGCGCCATGTCAGTTCCTCGGTCTTTGTTGCGTGGCAAGGAATCCATTTTTTCTCTCTGTCCTGGTCGGGGGCTCCGGCACAATTTCCAAGGTTTCTAGAATCTGGTTAGGCTCTACTGTTGCCATTCCTTCGCTACCTTTCGCGAAGAGTCCACGATGCAGGTGTGGCACATCTAGGCGCCAGACGGGGATGGCAGAATGAGCGATGTAACCTCATACAAATCCAAGTCTAGGAAAAGGATTGCACTATTGTGTAGGCCAGCATTCCTGTTTGTTCGGGGTCACCATGCCGATGATGGGTTGGATCCTTCTGTGGAGTTTCGACGATGCAGGTACCTCATAAGCTCGCGAGTAAGAAGGCCTAAAGTAGCGCCTTGGCTAACAGAATCAACCCTGCAAAGGCAGCAAACTGCGGCAGAACTGCCAAAGCATGATAGCTTAGTTATCCTATTGGCTACCCCTACGTCGGGCCGTCCCTCCCTTTTTCTCTCTCGGTTAATCATCTCGATCTATTGCCTATCTTAATCTCTTGCCGACCACACGGGAGCTTGATGCCAGCGGGGGAAACGGCGCGAATATGCATTGCACACAAGTCGTCACAGAATGAACAGAGTGCGCCTTTGACTCAGACTGCTGTCTAGTACTGGTTTGGGCTGGTTATCAAGATTGTGCTTTGGTATACGGTATGATTGCGATGGCTTTGATGACTTAACCGCTAACGCATGTCTTCCTCCGTCAAGATGCTCCACCATCGAAAAGAGTAAGGAATAGAGTTAGCAAGAAATGGCGCTCTCGTCGGATGCCGCATGCCCAGATCTACCATGCGCTTGTCATCCCATATGGCAAACCCATACTTACGCCAGATGTGGAAGGGGTGGGGAAGCCTGAGAAAAGCTCCGTCAAACCATCCATCCTTTGATGACATGGCGCACCAAAAGCGGTACGCCCATGTATTACTGTTGAAATTTTCTGCACCCTGACACAACTTGTCCTTGCCGAGCTCGAAGAAGAGCGGCTCGGCACAGAAACACCTCGAGACTACCCCTTCAACCCAACGTATTGTTGGCAAAGTGTAAGCGTTGTGGTGAACAGCTTTCACCGAAGTAATGGTTCCAGAGGTGACTGCGCCGAGAAAATCGCATGCGGTCAGAATCTGCTCCCTCTCGTAGTCAAACACGTCGTAAAAGTCATCCGCGCTGCTCTGCGACAACGCATCAACTTCCTGTCTCGGCCAATTGGTGTCCAGGTGGCCCTTGTGACCGGCGCCCTGCAATTCCATGAAATACTGCAGTTGCCAAAATGATCTGATCATCCGCTGCTCCTCCACCCACGAAGGCGGGCCGGTATCCTCTGGAATATAGTCCTTTCGACTCTTAGCGTTCTCGAATTCCTCCCGGCGTGTATAGCCGGACCCATTTTCGATGAGTGTAGAGGGCCTTAGCTCCATAGATTTCCGTATCAAGTGCTCGAGGCAGGCATGGGACCAAGCATGCACATTCGCGGCGCTGGCGAGCAAGGACCGTACTGCCGTGGCGGCTCGGTCCAGTCCAGACGAACGCATTTTATCGGTGGCCATAGTCGAGTCAGTCTCAGCAACGGTTTGGGCCTCGGATAAGGATGCTGGGAAGTCTGAAAACCGAGCTTTGAGCACCGCGCCCATGAGGCGACGGGTCTGCAAGGGAACGGTGACCTCGAGTACCTCCTCCACAATTTCGAGCGCATATCTGTCGAGCACTCTGCCCATAGCGGGTGACGCATGGGCCAAGCTCCGTAGTGAAAAAGGGTCCGGAGAAAGTTTCATTATCTTGATCCTGAGCTCCTCGGGAAGTTGACCAAATGGGTCTTGTTGAGTGTTCGCTTTCATCGTCGCTTGTAGAATTTTCGGTATGTTTCTTTCGAGGTGGGTGTCTGGAGAGAGGAAGGAGCTGCGGGCTCAACATAAATTATGCAACCTCCCTTCCTGCGCGGCGAACAACCCAGTGGGCCGAAGTCGGCTAGAGCGCAAGAGTAGAAGGTCATTCGACCTCACCTGGGCACGTTTCCTCTCATTGGACAATATCGGCCCACTGGGTTGTTTGTCGCGCGCGAAGGTTAATGAACGTAACCGAGCACACGTCACAACGCTCGCGGGATGATTGAGCTTGATCCTTCGTTTCCCTAGTCCTTCACGTTCGAAGCAGATCTAAGCCTTTTCTGTTTCTTGGCAATTTCTTGGCGGTTTCTCGGCAATTGCTTGCGCCTACAACCAATGCCATTTCCTCCCAGACCACAACCTTGCAAGCCGCGGCGATCGCCCTGACAGGATCAAACTACGTACATTATGGTGACATCGTTCCCACCTAACATTCATTCATGTCTTGGCGGCACGGGTATTACGGGAGGCGTAACAAGCGAAGGATCAGTCCCGCAAAAACCCACATGTTCCTTCTCTATCCACTGTGGTCCCATCAGGAATGTTGGCCGGTGGCAAAGACAAAGCCCAAGCTTGAGCTTTTCAGAATTGAATGCCAGCGCCAATGAGCAACGCAGGGCCTTGAACCAGCTGTCTGTTTGGGTTATTCGAGTGGAACCACAATATGGCACGAAAATTTTGATCTCATCCTGGACCGCGCCGCACAGGGTTGAAGTGGGTCAGTAGGCCCTCAAGTGAATGCACGCTACGGGGAGGAAGAGTAGGGAAAGACACTAGACTTGGAGACTGGAGGATGGGCAAGAGCCGTCAGACCCGTGGAGTGAATACTAGAGACCTGGCATAAGCGGAACAGCAGTAGTACCACATGCTCAGGTGTACATAAAACTAACATCTTCATATGTAGATGACGAACCTGCCACGAAGCCTCTCCTCTTTTCCTCAAGGCAACTTTTTCAGCGTCGAAAATGGCACGCGTCAAGACATCAGCGCGTCTTCTTGGGCTCGCCTTCTTTGCCCTGCAGGGCGCTCTGGCGGCTAAAGCTCCGGACATCACCCACCAGTCCCCAGAGCATGCGCCGCCCATTCCCTATCTCAACCTCATGGCCTTGTTCACAATGCCCCAGAATGTCAGCCACGTTTCATCCGAAGAGTCAGATCTCCTGCCCAACCTCTTTGACAAGAGACAACGCGAAGAGGATGGGAACGGAGGTCTCTTGTGCAAAAAGGGTCCCTGTCCCGACGGAAGGTGAGTTATCATGCTTTAATCCTTAGAAAGCAAGGAACGCTTAGGAGAGGATTCTTTTTGACTGTACTAGTTGCTGCGGCCCTGCGGGAGTATGTGGTTACGGTGAGGATTTCTGTGGCGTCGGCTGCAGCAGCAACTGTGATGCCGTGGCCATGTGCGGCGAATTCTCCGACGGAGGAAACACAAAGTGCGGCATGAACCTTTGTTGTAGTTGGGGTGAGTGATGGCAATGTTCATTGATCCTGTAGTCTCTTACTGAACATTGTTCTAGGTGGATGGTGTGGAACATCCAAAGTTCATTGCATCGGGCCAAACAAGTTCACACCGTGCCAGGAAGGGTTCGGCTCGTGCGAGATCATCCGACCAAAGACATGCGGCGAGGGCTCTGGAACGACAAAGGGCCGGACCGTTGGGTATTACCTGGCGTCCAACAGCAGAGACCGTCTCTGCAACCGCATCTTTCCCAAGGATATCAAGGCCGCGGATTACACCCATCTCTTCTTCTCCTTTGCATCCATCGACCCCAAGACCTTTAAGATCCGGCCCTGGGATGACGCCGACATTCCGCTGATGAGGGAGTTCACGGCTCTCGAGACGAATACCTGGATCGCCGTCGGCGGCTACACATTTAGCGACGCGGGCGACACGCACACGACTTGGAGTGACGTGTGTTCCACCGCTCAGAACAGGGCCGCCTTCATCCAATCGTCGGCTGAGTTCATGGCTAAGTACGGCTTCACGGGAATCGACCTAGACTGGGAGTACCCTGTGGAACCTAAGCGGGGAGGCTCCAAGGGAGACACTGAAAACTTCGTTAAGCTCGTCAAGGAGATGAGAGCGGCCTACGGAACCAAGTACGGTATCAGTTTGACTCTTGCGCCCGACTATTGGTATCTTCGGTACTTTGACGCAGAGGCCATGCAGCCCTATGTCGACTTTTTCGGCTTCATGGCATACGATTTGCATGGGTCCTGGGACTCTGACGTGCAAACTTTGGGATCTCTGGTGCGTGGCCAGGCAGATGTGCGAGAAATCTATAATGGTGAGCCATGATGAAGCCCTGTCATTTGAGTCGTTTGCTAATGCCTTGCAGTGAGTATTCAGTCACGACCGACTTTGTGATCTCTGGCCAGAGACAAATGGCTGCGGAATTATACTAACTGGTTGTGACCCAGAACACCTTGCCCCTCTGGTATGCAAACCTGGATCCGGCCAAGATCAACTTTGGCCTTGCGTGGTACGGAAGAGGATACACGCTGTCTGGTAGGGAGCTGCCCTCCCCAACGATTGCCAGCGCATGTCAACTGACGATTCATTGTAGACGCCAGCTGCAACACGCTCGGATGCCCGTTTGCAGGTCCCAGCAAGGCGGCCGAGTGCACCCACCAGGACGGCGTCATGTCGCTCCTGGAGATCAAGAAGCTCATCAAGGAGAAGAACCTGACGCCGCGCCTCAACAGCGAGTCGATGATGAAAGAGCTCATCTGGGACGACCAGTGGATCGGCTACGACGACGAAGAGACACACGAGATGAAGCGCAAGTTCGCCAACAACCTCTGCTTCGGCGGCACCATGGCGTGGTCCGTCGACTTCAACTCGGGCACTGGCGACGGCGACAGCGCGCCCGTATCCACTGACGGACGATGCGGTCCCGCTGGCGGCGGCTTCAGGTGTGAGGGCAGCACGTTCGGCGACTGCTGTTCGTCGTTTGGATATTGCGGAAGCAGCGAGACGCACTGCGGCTCTGGCTGCGTGAGTGGGAAGTGTGTGGAGGGGCAGGAGACGACGGACGGAACCTGCGGCGCGTCGGCGCACGGGGCCTTCTGCGGTCTGTGGCCCCAGGGGAGCTGTTGCTCGTCTTCTGGATACTGCGGTGATAGCGAGAGTCACTGCGGTGCGGGCTGCCAGAGCGGCGCCTGTCTCGATGAGCCGGCCAGTGGCAAGGGCTCGGGGCCCATCTACATTGCGCCTGAGGTCTACGAGAGCCCGGACCCGGTCGCGCAGTGCTTCCCGCCGTGCACGCTAATCATGCCGCCGTGGTCCCTCGCCAAGCCGACGACCATCTCCCGCCCCGCCACCACCGTCTCGTATCTCGACACGTGGGACACGACCGTCGTGACGACCAGCACCGTCATCTCGCTGCAACCCGTCACCACGACCCTGATCGAAGTATGGAACGTGATATGGATCGACGGCGACAACGAGGACGCCAAGACTCGCACTACCGTCGGCCTCACGTCGAGCGTCGACTTCCCGCCAGTTACGCTCACCAGGACCAGGACAGGACAGCCTCCCGTCACCTGGACATACTCGCCCGGGCCTTGGCCTACCATTGACTCGACCGACGACAACCCTTTCCCTCCGCCTCCTCCCCCTCCTGCGGGCCAGCCACCATCTATCACTGCCGTGAGGGGCCCGCCAAAGCCGACCTGCAAGCCTGGGCAAAAGTGCGGAAGCCTTTGCAAGCACAATTGCGGCGGTGGAGACGATGACAACAGTGGCGGCGGCGGTGGTGGTGGTGGTGGTGGTGGTGGTGGTGGAGTTCGCGGGCGTCCTTGCATTGGCATCTGCGGCTGCATTGGCCCCATCTGCAACACTCCCAATCGCAACTGCGTTGGCCCGGTCTGTCCACCCGGCAGTGGTGGTGGAGGAGGTGGCGGCGGCGGCGGTGGTGATCCCAACGATCCGGATGAAGAAGACGACGAGGATGACGAGTGCACCACGAGAACCGTGACCGACCGCTGGGTCTCTTGTGACGCTCAGCGGACAACGGAGTGCACGACTTACTCTACCTCGCTTGTCAGCGAATGCTCAGCAACAGGCATAGCAACGACCACCATAGGCGGAAGCTGCCCAATGTAAGTTTCGCGCTTGGTTCCCACTCAACTTTGCACAGCATGCTCACAAAGTTACAGACCTACCTATGACTACGACCTGCAGGATACACATGAACAGGTCCCAGTCGGATACAGCCTCACACAGGGAACAACCGTCTACAATGGAAGGACTCGGACGACTTACGGGTGGACCTTCAACCCACCAAGCGGCACTAAACCAACCCGCGGGGGCAACGGCAACGGAGGACAGGGCACGCGTACCTCTGCCCAATCCAGCGAAGGCATCACTCCACGACCCACCATTACCTCCACAGCATACCATCTCCCAGGCGCGCCCACCCTCGCGACAGTCGAACCGCCTTATAGCGGCAGCGAGTGCAGCTCGTATCTGCACACGACCAGGTGCAATGCCGCTGGCGGCCTGCAGGCTTGCCTGACACAGGATCTGTGCGTCCCGACCAGGCCCTGCTACTATACATACGCTGCATCGGGCACCCCTTCGTGTTCGGGCGAGTACTCCATCTGTCTGAGCACCACTATCTTCACCAGATGCGGCTTGATAGGCGCCGTCGCTGCCCGGGCCGACGCGACTCCGGCTCCCTCCCCTAACCCTAACGTCATCGGCGATGCGACCGTCACAGCAGCACCATCGGTTCCGACATCTGATCCCAGTCTCAAGCTCGAAGAAGACCATGATCGTCATCATGCTCATCAGTCGGCCGAACCAGCCTATCCTGGCCATGGCCACGACGAGTCGGCTGATAACGAACTGGTGGAGTCTGTCCCGAACACCCCTCACAACCAGAGCAGCGCCGCGACGAACGAGTTGAGCCTCATTTCCGCTCGACAAAACGCCGTCGGCTGTGGCGGCAGCAGCAATGGTGGATGCGACTACCTCCGCTTCTGCGCGTCGGGCATGTGCGCCAAGGCAGAGAAGGTCCCTTGCCTCGAAGCGCGAATTAAGGCTCATATGGGCATCACTTCCGGTATCGACCTTGAAGCCACGGTCACGGAAGACGGTGTCCTGAAATGCAAAGCCACGCGGCATTGCCCACTACTATGGGACGACGACTGCGGCGGTGTCGACTCGTTCGACTGCGGCGACGGCAGCACCATGGGTTTCAAATACAACTACGTCTCGTACTACAGTAAGAAGTACGACCGCAACTATCCCATGTACCTCGAACTGTCCGTGGATGCGAGGCTGGTTTATTGCACACAAGACCTTCTCTTTAGGAAGATTCCGTATGTGTGTTGGGAGGATGAGTATAAGTGGAAGGATGGGCCTTGTAGGGGTCTTGGTCTCTGAACCAACACTTCAGCGCACGCCAGTATTGTTTAGCTGTTTTAAACTGTAATATCATATCTGTTTGGCATACCCAAAGATGTCACATCTGACGCACTAGCCGCATTCGGCATGCTGGTCTATGCACACGCCCGTGAATTCACGTGAACACGACTGTGCTGCTCAACCGCGTCCCTCAACAACACTTCAAAACATCCGTCTTGACGATGCCCAAGCGCCGCCCATTAGCACTGCCAGGTCGCCGGCATCAGTTAGTCTTCGCGCTGGGGTTTCTTCGCAACCATGCCTCTCCACGATTGTCCGTTTCTCCATCTCGAGACGTGCGCCTAAAATTATCAGCCTCCCTACTATGAGCATCGCCACTGGATTGAACGCTCATCGCAGTTTCCATGAGCGATGTGGCGCTACAGAGCTGCAGTCAAGTGCCTTGCGCAGACTTCGGAACGACTGCGATGTAAAAGTATTGCTTAGACAGCCCAGCAAACGACGAAGTCTCCATGTCTTTGTACGGGCCGCAGCTTCGGTGGTTCACTCGTTCAACTTCCTTTTCGTATTACTATTACTACTTGCGCCTTCGGTAAGGCAGCCCATGGACCCAATTTCGCCCACTTAAACTGATCATGTAGAGTTCTACACCTTAGATTTGTCATCCAGAACAATCGTCTTACCTATGAACTACAACACTGTTACCCGAACCCAACATCCACGGAACAGGAATGTTTGGAATGTGTTTATGCCGCTCTGCAGATACCTAGATCGTTCAGTATCTTGGCTTTCTTCAATGGCGCGTCTTACACTATCTCACGTGTAGATATCATCCGAATCTCGTATGCATGTTTTGCCCTGCGACACGTCAAGTCCAGCATGCGGACGTACCCATCGGATATCCTAACGCGGGTCCACCCAACGGTTAGGGTAGTTCTGAGCAGCCTCGAGAGTATGCTGAGATCATACCAAGACGACCTTGCGGTGAAAGGCGAACTCGCCGACGTTGCGCCTGAGGAGCTTCCCAGTCTAACCAAACGAACCCTGGAGATCGTGGTCGAAATTTCCGATTTCTATATGTGAAGTAAAACGTGGCTGGCTGCGGAACTACCAGTTGATGATGCTACGAAGATAACTACAGCTCTGCATCGACTACTCAAAACGTGCGTTTGTTGGTTCAAATGGATGGAAGACCTCAGAGCTCCAAGAGGCAGAACTCCAGGACAAGAACGAAGAAGTTCCATATATGGAACTATCCGGGATGCTAGGGGGTGGCAGACGCGCGCTATAAAGGAAGGCCAGCAGGTACTCCGTCTCCTCGATAGATGTTCTTCGACGCCAGGAGTTGAACACGTTCGGGCTGAGGTCACTAAAATGGTGGATATGCACAGAAGATTCTTGGGGAATTGTTGACAACCCGTGCATTCTTGCGCGAGCGCATGGAAACGCGATGTACCTGAAAGATTGTTCGGCTCGCGATATGTAGCATTTTAGTGGGGTTTCCGCAAAGTCGTCGGGCCGCCGCGGGGTGGAACAGCGTATCTGAATATATGCAGCAGTGGTGAAGGGTCAAGTGGGCTGTTATCCTAGTGGGCGGGCGCGTCCTGGGTCTATGCTGGTATTGCATCGACAACAATGATGGAAACGATTGAGAGCCGATGCTTGCCGGCCGCATCTCATTTCTCATGGACCGAACGAGCCCGACATTGCGATGCAAAGACTGTTAGCATAGATTGGTTGCGCCATCAATTGGATGAGCATCATGTCCTTACCTTTACGATATTCTTGAAACTTCTGAAGAAAAGTAGTGTAATGGCACGTGACGCTGGGAGGTGGAAAATCGGCACGAAGTCGGTGCCTCCACATCCCGCGTCTCCGATGCCAATGCCGACTTTGATCCTTTCCATCTCTTCAGCCTCGATATTTGCATGGCAGTCATACATCTGGTATGCATGTGAAAGTCATCTCGCCATTCTTCCTCCTTCAAGCGACCTCGGGATGCAGGATCTCGTCGCGTATCGTGGTGACGCATAGACACACGAGATTCGGCGTTGTTTCCCGCCAATCTCGTCACGATTGCACCAGAACAACGGGGACGCCGCGTCGGAGGATCCATCGAAGGAACACGATGGCAAGTGTGTCATGTCGCGAATCCGAGGATCCTGCACCGATACATATACATAGCATTGTTGTTGACCTTGCCGATTAGTCGGGATCCCAGCACAAGAGATGAGACACAATCCTGCGCCGATCGATTGCGATTAGCGCGACACCCAAAGAAGAACGACGAGATGAATCAGCGAGTCATCTGGCGTCGGAGGCTAACGATTGGCCCGGAAATTTCATCCTGGCCGTGTTTGAAGATCTGTGGCGGCCGTCCCTGTGTGCAGGATTAAACTGGTGATGATATCAATGGCCAGTGCTCTTTGCGAAGGATTCAAGGTTCCGCAGGGGAATGCGCAATCCAGCCAATCTTTGCATTTGCTGCAAAACCTCGAATGATCGCGGCTGCCTACTTGCGAGTACCTCAGCCTCGAACCTGCGTTCGTCTTGCTCGGCAGACGGCAGATATTAACATGTCACTCCTGGTACCCTTGTACATACAATGGAGTCAGGGGCGATGAGGCGTAACAGCCCCGAAAAGTCCACACTGCCACGGGACGCGGGATGGAAGCGTCGAAGCAAAGAAGGTCCTAAGTTTATATCCTTTTGGAAGAACAATTACAGCAAGAGGTAACGGGGTGGTGTATGGAAGCCGGGTACCGCACACATGGACGGATTAAAAGCAACACCAGCGCTCACCGCCGTGGAACCTTCTCTCGCGCGCCGCACGCGCAGCCCGTGGCGCGATCCCTCAGGCCAGAAATCCGGCGTCCAGAAAGCGTTTCTCCCAGCGGTACCCCTGCGTAAAGTTTGGGCGAGGACCTGTCAAATGCAAGCATCCGCTAATCGCAGTTCGCTTATCACCTAGCGTTGAGCCTCCAACACGTCTCCACCTGCGTTAGTCTTGCGTGGACGGCATGAACCCAGCTTGGCAACGGCCCTGAATCGTCAACCGTAGCCTCGTGGGAGAAGGCGGCAGACGGTATCCTGTCAGGTCATTAGGGCTTGCGTTCCCGCCCTGCGGCGTGGGTCGTTCGCCAACCTTATAGTTTCTGCATCTTTCGAAGCAGCGCCGGCGCTGGCGTTCCACTTTACTCAGGTACGCCGTTTTTCACGATGTCGACATGGGAGCAGATGTACACCGATATGGTGCTGCATGCACCGGATCCAGATGAGGAGCTGCCCTTGTCGAATCGCAGGGCGACGATGTTCGGCACGACGCTCACTTTCTTGGTACGATGTCGTGATATCTCTCGATGTACCATCCGCTAACCTCACAGATAGATCATAGCATGGTTTGCAGTTTTCTTCCGTCTGTATGTCCGCATCAGAGTCGTCAAGGAATTGGGCTGGGATGATGCGTTTGTGTTCCTCGCTCAGGTACGTTCACCGTTGACGGTTTTTACGTGTTTGACATCAAGCTAACTCGATCTAGTCGTTGAACACGGCAGCCACCGTCGTAATGTGTCTTTGTAGGTGGTCTACCATGCTTGCGGTATGATCTCGACTAACATAAGTAGCTGTCAAGCAGGGACTGGGTGAGCACATGCTGTACATTGGCTACAACCGTCTAGTAGAATATCTGAGGGTATGCTTATTCCTCAACTAGATGGTGCCACTTGCTAACCAAGCCAGTTGTACTACTTCGAAATGGCCATATACGTCACCAACTGCGGCGTCATCAAGATTGCTCTCTTGCTCCAGTACCTCCGCATCTTCAAGGCTGGACTCATGCGATGGATTTGCATTGGCCTCCTCGTCGCTGTAACTCTTTGGGGTATTGCCTTTTCGATCACCGCATGGTTTCCTTGCTTTCCAGTGCGCGGGTACTGGGACCGCACTGTATCTGCGAATTGCTACGGTTTCGGACTCGGAGACCTTGACAGTTTTATCGCTACGTACAAAGCGCAAGCGGCCACCAACATGTTGTTCGATATCTCCATCTTTATTGCGCCAATGGTGTTGTTTCGAACACCAAACCTGCGATCCAAGAACGTGTTCGCGATGGCTGGCGTGTTCACCTTTGGAGCTGTGTAAGTCGCTCATGCCACCCAGCCCAAGCGATCCATACTAACATGATCACAGCGTTGTCGGAACATCAGTCTGGCGACTCCACGGCATCGTCGAAACCAAAGGCGCAACCTATCCCTACGTAGACTACACCTGGTGGTCACCAACTCTCATCATCCTCACCTGCCTCGAAATCGACCTCGCCATCATCTGCGCCTCCATGCCCATTTTCTGGCCCATCATCGAGAAGTCGCTCAGCGCCATCTTCGTCAGCTACGAAGTCCAGGTTGTGGAGGAGCGCGTCGACGACTATGGTCTTACCTACGAGCTGGAGCACATGAAGGGGGATGACAGGCCATGCAGCATAAAGAGCAGCGGGACGAGCACACAAGAGTTGACGAATGATGATGAGGAGTCACATCCGAGGAGGCCACAATTCACGGTGGGCTTTGATCCGCTGAGTGAGGAACAAAGAAACAATGGGTTGAGTACGAATGTTCAGTCGACAGCTCAGCCGAAATGGCAGCTCTAGATGGTCATGCATACACATCTCAAATCCAATAAAAACACATGCAAACAATCACACAGTCGCAACACACATACTCTGATCGTAATAGCAATAACACTGACACCATCTTCACAGCAAACCCTCACTCTACTCACACCAACACCCACGCATCACAACCCTACGTCATCCCAACTCCCCTTCGGCCCGCCATCCATTCCACCTCACCTCCCGCACACCTATGCACTTCCCCCAAGGAACCTCCCTGCGACCACCACCTCCCCCCACAGCCATGAAACACAAAACCACCGAAGACATCTCTTCGGCCTCATGTGTACGTACAGTATGACCACCCCACGCAACTGTTACGGCCGAACAAAAGGTAACAAACACTACCTAG